CCTAGTGTTAAATTTTAATTTAGAAGAAAATGGGATCTAATAATAAAGACAGTGTTAAGTAGGGAATTGCTTTAGAATCACAGGATAAATGTTTGCCAGATTACAGTGCCTTATTTTCTCACACATATCACACATATTTTTTGCTAGAATCAGCACCCCAAAATTGGGGTGCATGATTTAAGTGGGGATGCTGTTTTCTTCACTGATAAAGAAACACTCCTGGAGACACCCGCATGCCATTCAGCTGCCAAGACAGTGCTGCTTCTCTGCTCAGCAAACTGAAAGGGCATAGTCTTGTGTTAACCCCTCGCGGCCATAGCTTTTGGCTGAGCACTGTAATATGTGCCTGAGGCAGCAAATGAGCTACTGTTAGTATCTGGATGCAGCTTGTGATGTGGAAACAACATTTTATTTATAGGGACTTATATAAAGAATAACTTACAGTAAAGAAGTAAGAGTTTTGCTATTGCTCTTTGCAAAGTTCTGGGGCCTAACCTTGTATAACACAGAGGAAATCTTCCCTGAAATGTAGAATGTCCAGGAAGTGTGGCATCATAGTCTGCCAGACCAGGAATTTCCTAAAGCCACATTTCCTGGATACTTTGGCTGCTTACAGATATAAAAAAAGCCCTAAAACTGCACTTTACTTTAAACTTCCCATGCCCCTGCACTGAGTCCAGCACATACGGAGAAGACACTGTGTTATTTGGACCCAGTTCACCCAACATCTGTATAGACTGGGCACTTCATTGGGGCTTTTTTGCCACTTTTATCTAATAGCTGATTGAATCAGCTATTAGATAAAAGCTCTAAAAAGCCCTGCTGTAGTGCCTGAACTATACAGATGCTGCATAGCTGGGTCAAACTAAAGTACTGCTGCTTCTGGTAAAGTGCAGAACCTCTCCCCCCCGCATCTGTCAGCAGCCTTTATTTCCTAGAGAACTTAATCTATGTCATACAGTCGACCATAAGTCTGGAAAAAAAGTCTTTTTTTTTCTACATTCTGCCTTTCAAATACATGGTGCATGTTTTACTTGGGGTGTGCTCTGTGTGATTAAACAGTGTAACTAAAATCCCCCTCCTGTGTAAACTAGTTTTATGAGACCAGATTTTTGTGTTACTACAATACTTCTAGTTGTTATATGGTCAGGGAGAGGGAGAGGTGGTGGTGGAAAGCTGTATTTTCCTTAGTGATTTTGCCAAAGGAGGTAAACAAAGCAAATTTATATTGCTTTGGGTTGATGAAGAAACTGGAAAAAAAATATCAGTGTTTGCCAGCGGAAAAAGTCAAATCAGGAAAAAAATATTATGCTACAAGCTTCTTTCCCATTATAAAAGAGAAGGCAGTAAAGGAAGACTTCCCCACCCCATATTCCCACACCAAACTTCTCCTCCCATGGAAAAGGCCATAAGTATTCATCCTAAATCTTGAGGTCAGGGCTTTGTGTGCAGGGGCCCTTTGTCTCCACAGCAGATCTGGTCTGTGGCATTTAAACTTAGGCACAGAGCATCTTCTTTGGTACTGTGCTGTTAGATTAGGGTTACCATATATCCTGGTTTTCCCAGACATGACCTCTTTTTGAGTCCTCCTATCTCTGTCTGGGTGGGTTTTTCAAATCTTAGCAAATGTCTGGGTTTTTACTTTGCTCTGCTGGTGGGAGCAGGGGCAGGGACAGTTGTAGGCAGGGAGTTGCATGCAGGTAAGTCTGGGTTGTGGGGTTGGGGCTGAGGCTGCAGCAGGGCAGGAGGACCAGGGAGGTTGCCTTCACGCTCCAGTGAGGGGAGAGGGTGAGGGGGTCTTTTGAGGGCCATGGCCGGGCTGGCAGCACAGGGCCCAATGCCCATGCTTGTAGGGCCAGAGCCGCCAGGAGATGCTGCAGGAGGGGGAGGTGGGCCATGGCCAGGCCTCCTGGCATGGTGCAGCAATGCCAGCCCAGGACAGAGAGTGCCACCAGCCACTCTTCCTCTTCCCTCCAGCCTGCACTGGGGCTGGATTCTCTCCAAGCCACCGTGCTCTGGCCTGGTCAGGATGGAGGTAGCTGGGCCCCCTCCAGCAGGGCTGGGGGGAGGATGGAGCTGCTGGTTGTGAGTGAGGGAACTAGCATGGCCCAGGGTACTGTGGTTTGGGAGCATAGGTGGTGGAAAGGGGGGGCTAATGGGACTTAGCCCCCCAGAAAGGCGGGGCTTTGTTAGGGCCGTAAGGCAACCCGGCCAAGCGCTTCCGACGCAGCAGGGGTGGGGAGGGAGTGGGGCTGGGAATAGGGGAGGGGCAGGTGCCGCACAGCTGGCGGGGCTTGGGAATGATCCATGAGAGGCTCATCCAGGGAGTGCAGCTCCTGCTGCTACCCACACCTCAGAAGGCATGGGGAGCGTGCGACCCCAGATCTGCACTCGGCAAGGCAGGGCAGGCTGCTGCTGTGGGCTGAGGCCAGGGCTGTGCTGGGCTGTTCCTGGCCTTGGGCGGGGGCAGGCTGGGAAGAGCCCAGCATTGCCTGCGCCCCAGCCCACAGCAGCAGCCTGCCCTGCCCTGTGCAGATCCAGGAACACATGCCCCCTATGTATTCCTGGGATATGTGCAGCAGCGGGAGCCACCACCCCCTTCCTGCACCCCCTGGAGAGCAATGATGACTCAGGCCGGGGTGGGCACGGGGGTCCTGGGGGCTTCATCCCCTCTGGCCTGGTGGCACAGCTGAGGCTGGCCCTGCTCTGGTCCCTGACTCTCGGCCCCCCAGGTCATGCAGGGCTGGGGCTGGTGTGGGGGGGCAGCTGGGGCTAGGGGGTGGTGGATTCATTGATGTGGAGGGCTCCAGGCAATGGCACAATGCCAGGCAATGACCCCAGGTGCAGGGGAAGGGGTGACTGCATGGGCACAGTGGACCCCAGCCCTGATCCTGGGCCCGGCTCAGCTCCACTCCTTTCCAATCCCTACCTGGTCCCAGGCCCACTCCCTCCCCACTCCCATGGCCCTTTCCCCTCCCCCTGCAGACTTTTCTGCCAGGGGAGGGGTGCGTGCATGCATGTGCCTAGGCTCCCACAAAAAAAAATTCTCCCTCTGCTTATGTTTGGGAACAAGGGGCACTGGTTTGGCTGAGGTCTGTGGGTTGGAAGCAAGGGGCAACAGAATGGGCGGGGCAGGGCACTGCCATATCACTGCCCCTCTACAGTCACATTCCCCCACCCCCTTCCACCCCATACAACAGGTGTCCCCTTTTTTGGAACTGAAAATGTGGCAATGCTAAAACTCCCTGATTTTTAAATTTCCTCACAACCTCTTCAGACTAAGCTGTTCAGCAGAAAGAATATATCTCAGTGCAGCAGCATCTTCTTGGGCAAAAATTTATGACTCTAAGGAGAAATTTATGTTACTTCTCAGTCTTCCCATTTTCCATTCAAGCTAATCTCATAGTACTGGGCCTGGCAGGTGGGAAGAGAGTATTGCAGAGGTGGCTATATATTGTCTCCTTTTAAATGTGTATCTATGGGACACAACTGAGCCAGTATGGTAAGAGAGTAGTGAAAACAATAAAGAATAAATTAAAAGAATAGTATAAACAAAAAACTGACACTGTTGGTCCTATAGCTTGGTCTAAGCATGATAGGTGAGTAACAATTTGTTTGTGACAGGTATGGATGAGGAATATGAAATGGAGTCAATTCATTGTAAAATTAAGGTGTCCCTGGAATACTAAGTCAGATTGTTGATGGTGGCTTTGGTTTGCTTACACACTCTAATCATTTTGAGCAAAAGGTGCAGTAGAAAGAAGTACTTACATTCCCATTTATAGCTTGCCAGCCAGGTAAGAAACTCGGTTTTAGATCAGTGGTCTCCAACGTTTTTAAGTAGGAGATCACCTTTGGCATTTAAAAGCAACCCAAGATCTACCATGTGCCACCAGCACTCCCTGCCCAGCAGGTAAGTCTGTGGGGAGAGAAGTGGGGGGGCAGATCAAGGCAGAGGGAGAAAAAATTATTTGGGGGCGTGCCTCCCCAGCAGGTACGTCCCACCTGGCCAAGACCCTACTCAACTTACGCTCCTGTCTCTGCGGCACTGTCCTTCATTGCAGGGACCTTAATCTAGCCCTCGCCCCTTCCCTCCCCGATGGATTGACCTGCTGCGCTGGGGCATGCACATGCTTGCACGCAGGCACTCAGCCCCCAACCTCAGCCTTGGATTGACTCCAAGATGCTCCAAGATCTACTAGTGGATCAAGATCCACTGGTTGATGACCACTGTTTTATGTCATGTATGCAACTTTAAATATTTAGACAGAACAATTTTAGGGTCCCTTGTCAATAAATTATTTACTGCTTTTGTCATTCATTACAAGGGCAGTATTTTGACAGCTTTTCATTTGATTACACAGTAAATGTTCTGTTCTGTGTATGCCCTTAATTTTTATTAGTATTTTTGAATGTTAAAAAGCTTAAGAATGTAAATTGTTGCAAGGGGTATAAACAGAATAGATTTTTAATGTTCAATTGTTTCCATACACACTACTGGAGGAATGAGCAGGGGATTTCTTTTTCATTTGTTTCTTGATTAAGAAAATGTTGCTAACGTTGGTACACCTAAAGTAAACATACAAATATGCAAAAATATTGTAATATAAAACTCTGACTGGGAATTAAAAAAACCCTATAAAATTATTTGGGAACAACCACATGAGGAAAGAAGACAAAAATTGCACTTTTGTCATATGCAAGTACCTGGACGTTTTCTATTCATAGTCAGGTAAGTACAATAGTGCTACTAAAGGAAATAGAAATGATTGTTTATTTAGAACAATAATAGTAGGAAAATAATGTATTTTGGGGGAACATTGGAAGTAGGCAGATCAAAATTGAGCATTAAAGTCTTCAGCTTCATTTTTATTGTTTCATGTAATTTTCTTGGTATAAACGTGAAACTTTATTTTCACTGTAATAAAATTCTCCAAATAATTAGTAATCCCATTTTCAATATTAGTTTTAATAGTATTTCACTGTTTTTGTTTGCCCAGGAGCTGTAATTGTTTCCACTCCACAAGACATTGCTTTATTGGATGCACGCAAAGGAGCTGAGATGTTTCGAAAAGTCCATGTGCCTGTAAGCCTTTACAAAGAAATACTAATTGTTATTTTCTAACGTGATGTTTCTAAACCATAGACTCATGTGAATTTATCTGAGGGATCACTGAATTTCACAATCTTAGGTCACTAAGATGCTTAAAAATAACTATACTTTTATAGGTAGTGACATGAAGAGCAGCCTACTTTACGAGAATGACAGAAAGAATCTTTTTCAGAATTTGAGGTCATATTCCTACTTTGTTATTCTAAAATGACCTTATATAATTAAAATTGCCTAGATCACAAATCACCCTTAAAAACTAAATCATTTATCCAGTTAAGAAGTTTGCCAAAATAACTAATCTGAATTTTTTGTGTTTAACTAGGACAGTTTATTGGAAAAGTAATGCTTCCAAATTAGGCATTTCTTGACATTTGGATCAATAATCAAACTTAGCACTGGTTGGGAACAAGGTCTCCAGAGAACTAAAGTAGCAACTTAGATGGGAGGCAGATATTAGGGGTGTACAAAGCAGGCCCTATTCGATTCAGATTTGGATTCGGCCCAAATCAGGGACAATGATTTGATTTGTTGATTCGGATCACTGTCCCTGATTTGATTTGGCCAAATCTGAATCTGAAAATTCGATGCTGATTCAGAGAATCAGCGATTCAGACATAGATACAGCTTTAAAAGTTTTTTCTACATACCTCAAGGTACCAGCACAACTTGTGAATGCTGTGATGCTGGGATGCATGGAGTGTCCCACAGGAGTGCAGGGGGGCCCTCCACATGCTCAGTGGCGAATCCAGAAGTGGACTGGCTCACTGATTGACTGCAGGGGGACCCCAGGTGCCCCCCCCCCCACACACCCAGGAGGCACCAGTCACTGAGCCGGGAGGGCACAGGGGGGCCCCCAGCAGACCTGCTAGTGGACCAGAAGTGGTCCACTTCCAGGTCTCCTGCCCAATGTGCTGGGGAGCTCCCTGTGTTTCTGTGAGACAGTCCATATGCCCCAGCCTTGCAGCATTCATGAGCCCCTGCTACCTAGACGTATGTAGAAAAAACATGTAAAGCTGTCTCTATGTCCAAATCTCTGAATCTTTCCGAATCTCTCTGAATTGATTCAGAGGGTTCTTAAAGGGTCCTCTGATTCAATTCGGATTTAGAGATTTCCCATCGAATCAGGCTGAATCTCTGCTGAATTGAATCGGGGACTGAAGCTTCACACAGCCCTAGCAGATGTATGCCATTGCAGTGGACTGGTTGTTTCTATGTGACTTTCTGAGGAGTAACCCTTTTGACGGCATGGAAGAACATATAGGGCACAGATAGAAGTGAAAATTTTCATCGATTTGGCCACAAAAAGCACTTGATAGCCTTGACCAAACAAGTACACAGCTGCAGACAGCTTAAAAAATGGCCAATTGGGTGAAAATCTCAAGACGTTTCAAAATAGAGCATCTTCTGTAACTTCTGTTGCACTGCCTGTCAGCCTGTCACTGTTTTCAGAATGGGAAAGGAGAGGGGAGCAGAGAGAGTATGGTCTGGGGATTTTTTAGCTTGGGCTGGAGTGTGAGGCGGGGGTATTGGAGTGCTACTTTGGGGGAGTGGATGGGGGGAGGGTTCCAGTACACCCTACCCTCCATCATAGGCTGAGGAACCCCTTAGAATAAGCTCCCTCTGCTCCCTTTCCCTCCTCTCATTCTGATACAGGGACAGGTTGGTAGAGAAGCAGGAAAATCTGCTGCAGGCTCCACTGCCAGGGAAAATCAGTTGCAGGCTCCCCTCCTCCTTGGAACCAACAGTGAAATTCTGTTTGTTCCAAGGAATTGTTGTAACTTAGAACACTTCCTGTAAAGCATTCTCAGTTGCAGCAGGGAGCTGCACTTCTGTCTGCACCCATAATCTAGTGTGTCAGGGTGAGATATAAAGTGAAACATGAGAAATTTGTACAATGATGGTTTAATGTGCCAATATATTGATTTGGATATAAATCACTCCAGTGCTCAGGCTTTTTATGTAAGTTGGTTCAGTCCTTGACTTTAGGAAAGCCAACTTTGACAAGATCAGGAGGCTTGTCAGTGAGGCCCTAAGGGACCACGACCCCAGGGAGAGGGGAGTTCAAGAAGAGTGGTTGCTCCTCAAGGGAGTGATCCTCAACGCAAAAGCTAATTCTATTCCATCTCGAAGGAAAGGCAGCAAGAGGGCACAGCAGCCCCCCTGGCTCTCCAGGGATCTAGCAGACCTCCTGAGGCTAAAAAGAAAGGCCTACAAAGAATGGAGGATGGGATTCACCTCCAAGGAGGATTATTCTGCACTGGTCTGGTCCTGCAGGGAGCAAAACAGGAAAGCCAAGGCTGCAACTGAACTCCAACTAGCTTCGAGCATCAAGGACAA